CAGTGGGGATCAGAATGGGAGTAAAATGGGGCGTGCAGAGGCAGCAATAGGCAATGGTAATCTCTGCAGCCTGAAATAGCTGATGGCTGGGAAGCCAATCAAACTGACAATCAGCTGCTTGTGCTAATCAAGCTGTGCTGAAACTGAAACAGGTTGTTTGCTGCAAGGAGGCAAATTGCTGGAAAAGGCCAAAGGGTGGGGGCCAGTGGATGGGCGGGACTACATTCGGTGTAAAAGACACACCCAAGTATTCACTGTCTTTTTTTGGGGAGGGGGAAAGTCCGTCTTATACTCTGAAAAATACGATATTTTTTTAATCAATAATTTATTAATCTCCAAGCTAGTACTCTTAAAATGCATTGGAGTACAATATATATCAAATTCGATCAGTATACTCTGCAGTTACGCAAATTGGGAATGATGGAGACCTACTGTCATAAATAGAACTCCAGCATTTCAAATTCTAATTGTGCTATCAAACATTAGCACTGAAATAGCTAGATTTTGATAGTATGAGTTTTTGACAATTACAATGTTTTGGTGTATATGTCAAAATTGGGAATGAAAGCATTTTGTCTCTCAGAAGCCTCCTGCTATCATTTCCATCTTAATGTTTTTGTATGGCGGGAAACCAAAACTTGTGTTACATTTTGACACTCAATTTTAGCAACGTGATCTCAGGATACTGGAGGTGCATGCACCCTGTCGCCAACTTAGCTGCAAGCTAAAAACTGAGTTTTTTTAAAAGTCAAAATCTGATTCTACATTAAAATTTTTGGAAGTTATTTAATAACCCAGAATATGCAATAAGCATGTATCTTTTTCCCCCTAGCACAGTGATGGCTAATCTTTTTGTTGTTGGGTGCCAAAAATGCAAGGGTGTGTGCACAATAGTGTGCGGGCAGGCCGGCACCCATAATGCAAAGTGCACAATCCTCCCAAGCATGCTGCACTACTCGCCTCCAAGCTGAGCTTGGTATTTCCTCTGGGGGGCAAATAACAGGACTAACAGGCCAACCAGAAGTTCAGAAATGAACTTCTGGTAGGCCCGTTAAGTCCATTTTCCGCCCTCCCCCAGCCCCCATTTCCAAACTTCCAGTAGACCCATTGGGTCAGTTTTTTGCCCTCCCCAGGCTCTGGAGACTTTCCTGAAGCCTGGGGAGGGTGAAAATGGCCTCCCTCAGCCCTCCAGAAGGCCGAAAATCAATTGGACAGCATGCGCATGCACACTGGAGCTGATGGCTCACATGTGTACCAGCAGATATGGTTCCCCATGCCACACGTGCCATAGGTTTGCCATCACGGCCCTAGCACAATCCCACATGGACTTGTGAGAGAACCCAATGATAATTTTACTATTTCAGAACCTCAAAGCAGTTTCACTTACCCAGTTCAGACAGCTCATGAGAGTCAGAAAATCGACCTGTAAAAATAAGTACAAATGAAACCTGAGCCACTATTTATATCACTTGAGAACAGTCAGTGCAAGAGTTTTGAGGGAGTAGCTGTGAAGCAACAGTTACACAATGAAGCCAACGTAATTATCCCAGAGATCTACGTTTCCCACATCTATTCTGTTTTATATGTGCTTAACTACGGTAATTCAAAGTAGTACGACAGATTCATCTAAAATTGGGAAACATATTTTTCATAGACTCCTAAAAAATGTCTTGCCTGTGTTTTCCTGTCTGCCATAATATTTTTGGAGTGTAATCTAAGGTTTTACACTGCATTTAACATATTTAACAAAGACCATAGGGATCACTATAATCAGAAATTTGTTAAACAATTTTATATGGTTCCCCAACTCACACATGCTTCCAACATTTTTTCGGGTTTTACAACCCTTTAATCCCTTTATTTGGGGTGGAGTTGGAGGCGACTGAATGGAACAGCTTCAATCATTAAAATCACTAAAACCTCACCTCAAAAATAGTTTAAAAGCATTTTTCCTTACTGAGCAGTAACCAAAGGACTTATGGCATTCTTTTTTTTCTTATTCATATTTACTTCTATTCTAAAAAGGGTCCTCGCCCCCTGTATGAAATTATGTATGATTTACTACTTCTTCTTTCATCCCTGTTTTGTATTTATTCCACCATCAACACAGGTCGTGTCTTCTCTATAGCAGCACCCTGACTTTGGAATTTGGTCTTCAAAAGGTTTTTAAAAGGTATCAGTTTTACAAACCTACTATTAAATATGAACTGGTTAAAAAAGGTAAAGGTTCCCCTAGAACATAACTCTAGGGGGGGGGGGGCAGTGGTCATCTCCGTTTCAAAGCCGAAAAGACAGCGCTGTCTGAAGTCTCCATGGTCATGACGAAACACCATAGGTGCACGGAATGCTGTTACCTTCCCACTAAAGGTGGTTCCTATTTTTCTACTTGCATTTTTACATGCTTTCGAACTGCTAGGGTGGCAGAAGATGAGTCAAGTAATGGGAGCTCAGTCCATTATGCAGCGCTATGGATTCGAACCACTGAACTGCTGACCTTTCTGATCGACAAGCCCAATGTCTTAGCCACTGAGCCACCAATTCTTTAAATAAAAGGTCTGAAAACCTTGCCGAATAGTTAAATAGGAAAATTATTATGGGTAGAGGAGCAAACCAAAATAAAATAGCAAGAGTCATCATACCTTTGCATACATTAATCTTACTTTCAGATTAGGGGTATTATGTACAGTTCCAATTACCTCATTTCAAAATGACAATTTAGAACTGGACTGTTAGCAACATAACGTTTGGCTCAATTGTGATGATAAGTCAAGGACTATCAACAGACCAACAAATGGGCTGTGGGGGACTTTGAGCCTTCAGTGTGTTATCAGCAATCCCCACTTCAGCATGTTGATTTTACCTTTGGGCACTCCCACCATTAGTTAATATTAATCATAATAAAGACAACAACCTTGTTCAAAAGCCACATGCTTCAAAATATTAGATAATGGACAAATGAATGAGAATGATCTTGATTTCATAATCAATGAATGAAGTTCTGCTTCGATGGATTGTTCTTTGATCTCCTAGGACTCTTCATGTGGAATGGAAGAAATTAAACCTCAAGGCTGTGACCAGTTATTAGGAGACCAGACCTGTCTAGCCAACTCCAAGAACAATCCAAACAATTTTGAAAGAGAGTTAGAGATTGAAACCTGCAGTTTCCACAGCATTGAGCTGCAGACATTTAACATATCTCTAATAGCAGAGGACAGAATAGAATAGAGCTGGAAGGGACCTTGGAGGTCTTCTAGTCCAGCCTCCTGCTCAAGCAGAACCTAGACTACAGTGAAAGAACTACCTAAACTGAGATCGAGCTCTGCAATTGATTAAAAGGAAAATTAGTTTTTAAAAAAGAGCCAAAATCCTTCCCCAAATCAGGATTTCAAATCCAGGGCGAACTGAAAGATTTAAGAGAAGGACCGCAGTACTATTTATATTTCCCCTGTCGCCTGTGACTGTTACCTTTTTTTCTTGTCAAACCTGCTGGGCAATTTTTTAAACCACAGAAAGAAACCCAACAGGTAAAGCCTACGCCGACATTGGAATTCCAGGGTTCAAAAGCTTCACCTGCCAAGCGCCTGCCTATTACCGAGCTGTTACAAATGCTGAGCCTGAATCCTATTTGGGATTCGAAGGGAGCAAAACACAAGTTCAACAACCTTTTCGTACAAAAAAAACCCAAAACCCTATGGACAGAGAAAGCTTTTCCCAGGGCATCTGCAATGGAGCTCGTCCCCTCCTACCTGGCAGCAAGTAAGAGAGGCCCCGCACTGTGCTCTCAAGCTGAGCAGTGGCCGCTGGATGCTGCTTCACGTAATCCTGATACCGGTAACACAAATGCCGCAGCCTCCCCACTAAACCCGGCGCCGATCCAGCCATGGCTGCCCTAAAAAGATCGACGTAAGCTCACACACAGAGGGAGACACCCCTCCATTGCGCCTGCGCACACACTTCCGGTTTGTACTTTGCTGCCCGGACACATAGAGACACACCCCCATCCCGGCCCCGCCTCTCTCCTGGTCCGGCGCGGCATTCTATCTCTGCGCCTGCGCAGCACCTGCTCCGAAGCTGGCGCGAACGAAACCAATCGAGCCCTGAGTGGAGACGAGTCAGAGGGAAGAATGAGCCGAGCGCGAGGAGGTTCAGACTAAGCAGGCGCGCCCGCTTGCCGGAGGTGGAAATTTTTACAAGGGCTGGAGAGGAGGCGCGCGCCGTCGTGGCAGCAGCGCGCGCCACGGCCAGGTGTGAGTATTGCGCGGGGACGCGGGTTGCCACAGACTTTCCTTGCACAGCGCCGACGGGGGTTGCCCCGACTCACCTCCGGCGTCGAGTCGGCGCTTGATGCAGCTCCTTTTTTGTAGCTGTCTTCGGGAAAGGGGGCCTGAACGCTGCCAGCAAATTTCGCTTTTGCAGAGGAGGGGGCTAATGAAGAAATTGCTAGGTGGAGGAGATGGGCTCGGGGCTCGGGCTGTTTTTTTTTGGGGGGGGGGAATGTGCTGTGGACTTCCATTGCCCCGCTTTGGAGAGGATGCCCAGCAGGTGCCTTGTCTAATAGGGTGTCCTCTCTTGGGGGAGAGAGCATGTGGGGGATCGGCCTGNGGTATTTACCGGTTCTCCGAACTACTCAAAATTTCCACTACCAGTTCACCAGAACTGGTCAGAACCTGCTCAATACCACTTCTGCCTTTGTTGATGTGGGAAACAGCTTCACCAAAGAGAATGGATTTTATTTCTCAATGACCATATACTGTATAAGACCTTTCTATGTAGTCTTCCTTAAAACATGGTTTGGAAATGTCTAAAATCAATACAAACCTTTTATTTCCCACTGTTTCACTTTTAAACGGTAGTATCTCTAATGGAGACTAAACCAAAATCTCGATCCCGCTTGGAAATAAGCACCCTTCTGAACTAGGACAATTTATACTAAGGCTGCAGCTCACTCTAGTGGCACACAGAACAGACTACAAGAACCACTGAAAATCAAAATAGGATACAGTGCAATAATGGACGGGTAACGAAGATAGACTCAGCAAGTGTCTCCTGGGAGCCCAAAGGTGTTGATGGTTGGTTGCTCTCCATTGCTCTTTGGTTCTGCTTTTCCTCACGTTGCTGAGGCTCACCCCAATGTCTAGAGTGCAGGGTAGGGGCTGAAATTAAGACAAAAGTAAGGTCATGCATGGATATTTATCAGCAACCAGCAAGATATTTGGCCAGAAAAAGTCATATACGGCCAATAATTTACCTAGCCTCCCAAAAAGTTATATCAGAAAAAGCAAGCTAGAATGATACTTACTGCTTTCGAGAGACCTCACTACACGACTACTGCGCTTCCCCACGAAGATCTGTTCTTTTCCTACTAAGCTGGCTTCCAGGGCTGTCAAAAGATACAGGTATGTAAGGCCACAATCAGAGGAGGGTGCAATTCTCCCACGTGCACTGAGATAGCAATAGCACTTAGACTTATATGCCGCTTCACAGAGCTTTATAGACCTCTCTAAGTGGTTTGCAGAGTCAGTATATTTTCCCCAACAATCTGTGTCCTCATTTTACCGACCTTGGAATGGAAGGCTGAGTCAACCTTGAGCCTGGTGAGATTTGAACTGCCAAATTGCAGGCAGCCGGCAGACAGCAGAAGTAGCCTGCAGTACAAGCACACCCCAGTCAAGAATGGGGATGGGGATACTCAACATTCCAAATGGAATGGAAAACCCTACAGATCACTGAGCAGATCCAGGCAGGTCCCCAGAAAATGCTGCTCAAACTCTCATCTGTGCTGCGAAAAAAAGAACTTCAAGGCAACTTCTCTGTGGGCTTACCCTGAGTGTATACTATGCAAATATGATCAATAAACACAAGTGGATAGTCCTGGGCTATTTATTCAGAAGTTGCCCACAACAATCCCCTTAGCCATTTGATCTCATTTTTAGGTCTTTTCTTCTCAATTTGGGATGACAAAGTAGAGTTGGAAGCTACAAAGGAGTCTGTGAGAATGCAGTTATGCGTACTTTTTCAGAGCACTGAGACTCAGCTCCTTGGTCAGACTAATTTTAATAGAATTGCACTAATGATATTTTTGTTCAGTAGTGATCTCATTGTTAAGTCCTTTTATTTTTTTGTAAACTTTCCCCAAATGGAAGAATACATGATTGCAAAAATGTGGAATAATCATTGTAATCATGATGATCTCTTTAATAACTACGTCCCTGCATGTGCACAAATAAATGCATTTATTTCAGGCCTGAGCTCAGCATCAGTGGAAATGAATATTTAATATAGAGTAATACAAGAAACCCACAAGATATCTTTGCTGATATTATTCAAGTATGGGTTAGTTGGAAAACTGGAGGGCACAACAATAATTCAACAGCATCCAGAACATCCTCCATTCCCTTTGATTATACTGATTAACTAAATTGGTTTTGACTCACCTTTCTCATACAGTGATTCCCTCCTGTCTAGTGGTACAATGGGAGGAGAGGTCTGGATGCCAGCTTTGTACCAGAGCAAGAGCAGGAGGCGCAAAATGGCTCTGTGGATCAGAGAAAGGCACAATTATGAGCAACAAAGGCACACAATTTCACAATCAAGATACCAAAGGAGCGCAGAAATACTATGAAGAGCAGGATTTAAGCAGAATAAACAAAGTTGGCAGTGTTGGTAGATACAATTTGACCCTGTGATCATCCTTGGAAATGTTTTGGCTAATGAAAATTAGAAGGCTTATATAAAATCATAGTCACTTATCAAGAAGAAAGTTCGCATATTATTTTGGACACAAATAAAAATCAAGTAGATTTGACAAGAGCCCAAACTTATTTTGAACTTACTTTAAAAACCATGTGGTTTATACTACACATGCCATACAATCACGCTAACTTTGCATGAGCTATAAACACTTAGGATCTACCAGTAAAAAGGTCCTCTTTCTTTTGTTTGCCAATCAAACGCATTTTGATACGGATTCCCCATTTCTATGTTCAACACTCACTTGGTTAACTGGATGAGGACAATAGTGGCCCACCGGCCATTCTCACCCCACACCTTGGCAGCTCCCATCTCGGCAAAGACCTCCAGGCATTCGAGAACACTCAGCCATGTTAGCAATTTCTGCTGGGAAAGTGGCTATACAGGAAAAGGCAAACAAACTTTTGAGATGACTCAGTATGATTAGCTTCAATGTACAGTAAAACCTTGATTTTTCTTTTAATTCTCAGTATTTTGCACACTGGATACACCAGCTTTCTGCATCTATAAATCCACTGATCACTAGAATCAATAGACAGAGAGATGATTAAAAGATAGACTCTGTCCCAAATGAGCTTTTTCAAAAGTCAACTGGACTTTCTGGTTTTTCTTTGAAAACATTTCACTTTTCATCCAAGAAGCTTCTTCAGCTCTAATTGGATGGTGGGGAATGGAAGGATTCCAGTCAGAGCTCAAGAAGCTTCTTGGATGAGAAGCGAAACATCTTCAAAGAAAACCCAGAGAGTCCAGTTGCCTCTTGAAAAAACACCTTTGGAACAACCATGACCTGGATGACTAAGAATCTCCATAAACAGATAGTCTCTGCTCTTCTATGCCCTTTCCTTGTCTGAGTTACTTTTATATCTCTGTGTAACAGGTCTTTTATTGGTTAGACCAGGGATGTAAAAACTCATGTTGTCACAGCAGCATCACATGACATATCAGGATTTCCCCCCCTTTGTTAAACTGGATGTGGGTTGTGGCCAGCACGTAAGGACAGTTTGACAGCCCTGGGTTAGACTGATATTTTCAGGCTCTCATCTCTTCTATTGTATTTCTTCCTTTTCTTTGACCTGTGTAGCTGCTTTTTTTTTTCACAATGGAGGAAAACAGACAATACACACTACCTGCAGACAGACGTAAGTACCTATCATAAAGCTGTTTTCTTAATAAAGCTTTCTTTCATGCAAGCCTCAGACCTGGTAATTCTGACAAAAGTTAATCTCTTTACTTTTTCTCTCTCCACACATTCTTTCTACTGTGCAGAGGCAACTGTGTGAGGAATGAGGGGTGCGATGTGTCCAGCACTTCCATACAAAAGCAATGGGGTGATCACCTGGGGATGTTTGTGGGTCTTTCAACTTTAACTATTTGTGCTCAAGTCTGACTCATCCCATTTCAACGAGCGTCAGAGCCCTGCATACCAGACCTTTGTTGCAGGGACATGGAGAGGTTCTTAAAGGGACAGGCAATATTTAGGACGCAGTGGCTCAGTGGCTAAGACGCTGAGCTTGACGATCAGAAAGGTCGGCAGTTCGAATCCCTAGCTCTGCGTAACAGAGTAAGTTCTTGTTACTTGTTCCAGCTTCTGCCAACCTAGTAGTTCAAAAGCATGTAAAAATGCAAGTNCCATTGCCCCGCTTTGGAGAGGATGCCCAGCAGGTGCCTTGTCTAATAGGGTGTCCTCTCTTGGGGGAGAGAGCATGTGGGGGATCGGCCTGACGGGGGAATGATACCAGAGGCTGGTAGGGGAAGTCTCCTGTCCCTGAGAAACCTTACCGTAAAAATAGAAGCCCTCTCCCGCTTTGCAGCACCGACTGGCACGTGGTTTGGTGGCGCCCTGTGCTAAAGTGAAGTAATAATAGTTGGGGCTATAATAAGAGCGTCTGCTTGACAATGGTCCATGCCCGGTGTCTTATTCGCTAACTGCTACCTTTGAAAGTCTTTCTCTCTGACTGGATCGCGTGTCTTTCTTTATTTAGAAGTCCGCGGCTGTAAGGCTGTAACTCCGCGCGTCTCTGGGTAGAAGCAAACGCCCTAAAGTTTAAACTCTTGGAGGCTGACTTAAAAATAAATGGGACGTCGGCCCAGATACCTCATTGGATTCTTTCTTTAGAGATCAATTCGGAGATAGGTACTATTAGGTTTTGGACATTGATTTGGGGGATATCTCACCCTAGAGCAAAGTTTCCCAAATTGAAATAGTTATCTTGGGGAGGTGCATACAGAATGGGGGTGGGGTGGGGTGGGGTGTGAATAACTTTTTTTTTAGTTACATTATAACAATGAATGCAGCTTTCCCAAAGTTTCATTGGATTATATTTTCATTGTTCATTTTTGGTGTTTGGATTTTTAGGTGAGTTCTTTACAATAAGATAATGCTAAGGGACTTGTAATGGCAAAAAGTTTAAGAATCCCTGCCTTGGAGAATAATATATAGCTAGTCTTCACTTACTGACCATTCACAGTCTGTTAAAGTTACAGTGGTATTGAATAATACTGTCAGCTTCCAATTAGCAAAGTCAGTGGGGAAGCCTGCAGGAAGATGTTAATCATGTTCACAGTCACACTAATGACCAATAGTAATTCAAATAATAACTTCAGTTGGAATTGACAAATTGCCTTTATAACTAAGATGTGGTCACATCATTTTTCACATTATAACCAGATTGTTTAGCAATAAAGTTGGAGATCACAACTGCAGTCAGTAAGTGAGGACTACCTGTATATAAAGGGCTTCATTTGCTTCTGGATATGATAAACTGGGCTACTCATTAATTGAACTAGGAAACTCTTCAACACCAATGCTAGCTGTTACCAAATGAACATTGTTGTTTAGGATTCTGTCTCAATATCTGGTGTGAAGTAACAATCCTGGTGGTAAAAAATGCATGTTGGAATTTATGTGTTTTACATTTTACAGATGTAGCATTAAATATGTGTGTCTGAAAAGCAGGACATTTACTTAGTATCCCCAAGGTTCATGAAGGATTTAAATTAGTACAAAATTAGCATATGCATTACCCTTGCATTTCCATTTTTGTCATTGTGCTCCTTGATTTTCATTACTGAAAGTTGAAGATCATTTGCATTTTCAACCATATATCCCAAAAGATAAGTATCAAACAAACCAGTTCTGTTTGGGGAGGGGAATATCATCCAGAATTATTGGTGGACATTCCAGATGCAAGTAGCCTCCAAATCCACGGCCACTCAATCTTGTTAGGATTGGCCCTGACCCTTTTCTTCCCCATCCAGATTCACCCACACTCAAGGTACTAAGATGTGGCATTGCTTGGTCAGCCTAGGATTGATATCTAAAGCTGGTTATCATCAGCATACCGACAATCCCTAACCCTATGTTAGTAGGTGACCTTCGTGGCACGACAAAACCGCGCTATGCAAAATAGCGGAGATTAAATCGCGTCCCTAAAGTCGCGACGTCATCACCGCGCGTCATCACCGTGGGGACAACAGCGCGGCGACAGAAGGGCAGCGGGCACGGGGCAAAGCGGGCTGCCCAGCAGCAGCAGCAGCCTGC